ATTGAAACACTAGTTCTCATATGGTCATTGAAGTTAAGCAGCATCAATCCTGATCAGTACTTAGATGGGTGACCACTTGGAAATACCAGGTGCTGTAAGGTAAGCTTTCATATGTGGATGGTGTAATGGATAATAACTTGGAATTGTTAATAGGAGAGCCAAGTTTCAATTCCTGATAAAGGCTAATTGCATATAAGTGAATATAATGAACACTTCACTTATATGCAATTACCATTTGGGAAGGTATGAATCTATCTCTTCTTCCTCCAGCTATGGGTTAATTAGTAATACTTGTATCACTAAAGCATTTTTATCTCAAAAATAAAATTCTTACAATCAAAAATTATTTTCTGGCTTTAAATAATCTGCAAAGGGTTGATAATCCGTAGAAAATAAATGAATCAGTCAAGCAACACTTGGATAAATACTATTTTTTTTTAGGTTTAACCTTGTCTAAGTTTGATTTTGTTATAAAGCCCATTAAATCCCAAATCTATTATAGCAGAGTCCACTAAATCAAGGATTTATTATATATGAATAAATGAACTACTTTTGAGTAGTAGGGTGTTGTGCCCAAAAAATGTAGATTCCTGCTTCAACACTAAAATATATATATATATCTATATTTCTGAGATGAAGTATTATGTACACTATTTACATTATTCGGACTATTGTCCTCATCTTTGTCACCATATTTATTACAACGTTTCGGCCATTGTATGCTCCAGTCTTCTTCAGGTGGTTGGAATGCCAAACTGAACTCTTTATTTTGCTCACTGGGGTTGACTGTTCTAGTTCCATGTGCCATGCTTAATGGATGTCAGTTATCAGTTATCTCCTGTTAATTCCCCTCTCCAAGTTCTCCACTGCCTTAACTGGGTATTGAACTCACAATCTTTGGGTCCTGTCATTGGATTTAACCAACACCTTTATCTACTGTGTCATGTGTCCTTGAGTTAGATATTCCAACCACCTGAAGAAGGCCAGAGCGTACAATGGCCGAAACGTAATAAATAAGTCGACAAAGATGAGGACAATAGTCTGAATAATGTAAATAGTGCACTAAAATATAAATGAAAAAAAACTTAAAAAATAAATCTTCACTTTTAAATGAAGGACAATGATATTCATTACAGATCAGCTTGTGTTTATGTGTTGTTATAGTTATTTTGTCATTCTAATGGTTTATAGATATTGACTCAATGAAAGGTTCTCTTGTAAGCAGGGAGAGCTTTTCTGCTTGACTTGCTGTCAAAAGTTTAGCTCTTATTTGGGTTCAGCCATCAGGCCAAATAAAATATTGGTTTTGTAAAGCAGATAATTATCGCTATTTCCATGACAAGTGTTCTGACAAGATACATTCCTTGGTTCCACCAGTCCTGACATTTGCATCTGGAACCCACCATGCCATGTACACAAAGATTCCCTTCATATTTTATTAGTAAGTAGTAAGTTCTATTTGGACAGCTTCTTCCCGAGAACTGCTGCTTTGTGGAGCAGACTGTCAGCATGGTGTTTTCCTGATCGCTACAGTTTTAACCTGTAGAGTCTTAAAGTCTAAAGTTAACCATTATCTTTCTAACACAACCTCTTAAACTGTACTTCTCTTATGCTCATATAACACCATACAGTAACCCTCTACCTTGAGTGGTTCTCTAGAATTTATAGGGGTGGAAAAAATGTTTGTTTCAAGGTTGCAATAGAGCATATAATAAAAATTAACCTAAATTGTGAAACTAATCTCCAAGACATTGCACTTTGACAGATAACAAAGTTAGTTATTGATGTAAATATTTACAAAGCAAAATTGCATACTTGGGAGAAAAATAAAACTGCTTCAGCCAGCAAGCAGTTAGCAGACATTAATATCATATAAAATGCTGTAGAAATGAATAGTGTATAATGGTAAAAAAAAAATACTGTTTTCACTTTAAGGTAGTGACTTAGCTACTCAGTATTAGCAACTGTATTGCCATTTTCTATTTGTGTTAAAATTTATTGAAGCCAAATTCAGTTAAAAAATAATCCAATAATATTTCAAAAGAAAGTGTTGAAGAAATTAACATCACAGGCAAATAATATCAATGACATCTTTGCATTAGAATCTATTCATACCTGGATTTTTAAAAAATATATTTTTACTATTATACTCTAGGGATACAGAAGGCAATTATCTCCCTTTAGTGGAGATAAATTTCATGGGTCACATGACAGATGCTTAATGACATCATTTCATACAGTGACAAGAGTGGCCAATCATTCAGTTTTGTTTACAGCAGCCAAACTGAACCTGTTGCTTTTTTAGCCTCGGCCAAATGGCCCAAGCTGAAGCTAAATCTGTCTCTCTCCCAGCAGCTTGGAAGAACATGGTGACATTTTCCTTTTGGAATATATCTTTACCAGATATAGAAAGAAACTTAACCAGTCCTTGGGAAAACCCAAGACTTGCTGTTTCCCATTTGTAGAATATGTCCTTGGCTGGGATATAGTAGATGAATCAAGCTTGTTTTAATCTGGGGTCCTAAACATGACTTCTCCATACACAGGAGTATCTCCATATTATATGTAAGACACTTCCATTTTGTTTCTCCTTACATATGCAATGTAGATATATGTGATATATTTTCCTCTGTGTCTAACCCTAACCATGAAAGAGGTACTCAGTGGGTTGGGATTCTCCAATAATGAGATTCATTTTTCAATCATTTCACCATGCAAGATAATAATGCCACTATGATGTAAAGGGGTTACTGGGATTGAAAGTAAATGAGAAGATTTTATAGAAGTAACACAGTTAGGGCTAAGAAAGCAGCCAAGAAGCTTCTACAAAATCCCAAAACTGGTGTGTGTATATATATATATATATATATATATATATATATATATATATATATATATATATATATATAGATAATATTAGTGGAAAATATACATACATATGCAAAATATATATAAAAAATTCCCATACATGTATATTTTCAGAAAAAAAATTTTCCAAGAGGAAGGATCCAGGTAGAACTCAATGTCTAGGACAGAGTAAGGATATAATAAAAAGGCTTAAACACTAATATTCCATGGTCATAATTTATTCCATTGGAATCGTAAATACGATCCAAATCATCAGACCTACAAATTCAAAATGAAAACAGAAAAAAACAACTCCGGAAATCAAAACAGAATTTAGAGAAAGTGTACGTATGAGGAGGAGGGACATGAAACCTTAACAGAGAGAATTTTAGGAGATGTGGGGGGGGAATTAAAAAGCGGAGAGAAAGAAAGTCAACGGATGTCTAATGCATAAAGATACATTTCGTGGTGACATATACACACCATAGACAATTAGGATAGGAGGGGGAAAAAAAAAAAAGGAAGAGAAGAGGTGGGGGAGAGAGATGGGACGAAGGAAAATAAAATTGTGTTTACTTAAAGGGCCGCTTTGTAATTGAGAAAATTTGACAAATTAATATCGACTACAGGTTAGAAATCAAATATAAATATATGAAGATGAATATAACGATTGTCTAATTTAGCAAGGACCAAATATTTCTATGTTCAAAAACACATACTAATACACACAAAAACATATACAAGTAGGTACATACACTTAGGCATGTACTCACACACACACACACACAGACATACGTGTACATACACATACATATATATATATATATATATATATATATATATATATAAAACCTAAAAATATATTCACATATCCACACATACACATATTCATCTATATTCATATACACACACTTTTCACATACATATACACGCATACATATGCCCCCATGCATATATTCATACATACATACATACACATACATATACACATACATATACATACACATATACATATATATATATATACATATACCCATACATACACGCACATACACATACATATACACATATACATACATATACACACATATACGCATATATATATATACACATGCAAATACATACACACCCTCACACATGTATATATATATACACATGCAAATACATACACACCCTTACACATGTATATATACACATACACACACATATACATAAGTACACATACACACCTATACATATACATACATAAACACCTCCATACGTACATATATACACACTTTTTACGATTCCAATGGAATAAATTATGACCATGGAATATTAGTGTTTAAGCCTTTTTATTATATATATATATATATATATATATATATATATATATATATATATATATATATATATATATATTTAAGTTATAAAGAACTTGGTAAACCGAAGGAGGATGAAATCCCTGAGAGCTCAATGTGAAGAACAGAGCTAATATTTAATGAAAAACAGACCACTTTAAGGTACCATTACAATAATTTATTTCACCAAAACCCCTTTTAAAGGATTTCGGATCATCAGGTAACCACTTCCAACAACTCCTCCTAACCCCAATATAAAGCTTATTTAAGAGAGATGTAAATTTAACCCTCCCTATACTTTGTATTGTCTCTTTAACCGCCACCTTCACCCTCCCTGTTTAATTACAAGAATTACACTACCCATCAATTTCTAATCACATTTTTCTTCTCATTTCATTGTTGGAAGTGTTTACCTGATGATCCGAAATCCTTTAAAAAGGATTTTGGTGAAATAAATTATTGTAATGGTACCTTAAAGTGGTCTGTTTTTCATTAAATATATATATATACTCTCACAAAGTTTAGCTATGCTCAACATAAAAAGACTCAGAATAAATTTTCCTATTATTCAAAACATAAAAATAAAATCCATCTTAAACAGTCAAAACATGAAGAGAAATTAATAGCACCTAAAGACAAACCCCCTTGAAAATGGCTAACAATGTGGCCAAAACGGCTTGGGACAATGGACAATATGAATAATTTTTACACTCCTTTACTTCCACAAAATGGAAAAATATGAGAATGCTGGAAAAACTAAATAAAGAATTTATCAAATTTTCTGTCTGTAAACGAAACCACAGGGGAAACACAAATCTTGTGCGTTAGATTTGGTAGATGAAACTATTTGGAAGCCATTGATGGTTGTGCAAACAACACAAAAAACATCTGTTATTTCTAGAACTGAGATT